TTCACCACCTCCTGCCAGTGAGGCAGGGTAGGAGAGCCCAGGAGGTCATCAGCACTTAGATGGGTGGAGGGGTTATTGAGGTGGGGGTGTCCAACAGCCCACTGGCAGCAGCAACATTTGGGAAACCAGCGAAGCTGAGACTCTGTTGGAGGCAGGATCTTTTGGCTATCACAGGCTCTCAACCGCCACCAGTTACAGCTCAGCACTCCTCAGCATTGTGGATGAAATGACAGCGAGGCCCGTAAGGGGAGGAGCCAGTGATACTGAAAGTGCAACACAGTCCTGTCTTGTACTTGGGGCGATGGGTCAGACTTCGCAGCTCATGGATGCCGTGAGCAGACTGGCACTGGTCTCCATATTTGCAGGTCTCATTCTCCTCAGATGGGCTTGTAGTGACTTGAGTTGACTTGTCCACCAGCTGCTTTTGCTGAAGCAGGCACTCACCACCTTTGGAGAAGGAGAAATCCTGAAAGTGGTTCTCCCTGGACCCCAAGGCTAGGGCTGGCTTTCCCTTAAGGCAGCTAAGGAGAGAGGTCTGATGGAACTTTGAATTGGGCATGGTGACTGAATGCCTCCTGGGGAAACCCCCACCAGCCAGAGTTCCTACTGCCCTCCTGTCCAGAGGATATCCTCTAGCAGCTGAGGGGCTGTAATTCAGCATCTTGTTACTTTTGCATAAAACTTCACTCAAGTCACAGATACAAGGGCTGTAGACATCTTCAGTTAGCAAAAAATTGAATGAAAAATTGGAGTAACTCTAACAGAAAAACAAAATGAATCAGTGTTGTAAGGCACAGCCTCTAGTTTCCCTGGGACAGGCTCCCTTTTGCCCTCTCCAGCTCCAACAATTCCCCTTTCTCGTATTTACAAGATTGTAAAATCTTGTGTGATGGCTTTCTCATACTTAGTGCCTTGCAGATCTATTGAACCATCATGAATTCCATATGCCATCAAGTAATCTCAGAAGGAGTTAGACTCTTTAAATTATATTGCAAAAATCCCTGCAGTTTATTAGAAAAAATGATACCAAGTGTTGTAGAAGGTGCACTATGAGATAGATATGACCTGTACGGTTTTTCTGGCTTTTGATATGTGCTGGGATTGGAATTGGCATATCAGAGTGAAACATACACTGTCCCACAACTGTCCCATGTGCTATTAACAAATATATGCTTCCAGTGCAGAGAATGGCAATAATGAATTAATGTTTTTCAATATGCTGTCTTTAGTGTTGTCACCTGCTGGTATACGACATTATTTCTTTTATGTGTTTTATTTTTAGCCTCTCCCGATATAAGTTGAAGTTTAGCCCAGACAAAGTTGATACAATGATTATCCAAGCAATCTGTAAGTACAATTTTAAGTGAAATAATGTGAGTGCTTTTGACTTATAATATCAGAATCTACAAAATTTGGGATCAGTATGGAATTCCTCAACTTGACAGTGGCAAATTTTGGTTTTTGTTCTGGTTAATTCTACCAGAGCTGTATCCAACTTGTGATTTGGGAGAAGAGCAGAAGCTTCAGTGGTCAAGTGCCAACATCAAGTTGATAGAGGCCTTGAGATGTGAGGGAAGCCGGTTGGTGATGAGATCCTCAGCTCAGATTTGTGGGGCTTACTTAATACTTTGTGTCAATTTTATAGAATTGGTTTGGTGTATGCGTAATGGAACATGATTTGCTTATAGACTTAATATTGTAATGCATCTTAGAAAGCGCAGTTCCTTAAGTTGTGCAATTGAAGATGTATTGTTGGCTTTTAAAGAAATATCTCAGAAAACACCATGTATAATAGCAGGACTTTATCGTAATGGTTAAGGAAACCATAAAATGAGCAATTTTAGCTGATACAGGTAGACCTCAATTCACGATCACAATTGGGACCGGAATTTCCATCACTAAGTGATGCAGCTGTAAAGCAAGATGTCATGTGACTGCATCGCTTAGCGATGGCAATCCTGGCACTCCCCATTGCCATTGTTAAGTGAATTCCATCAGTTGTTAGCCGAGGACCCATCCCAATCCAACCCATTCTGGGCTTGCCCCTCCCAGCCTTGAGCCTCAGTAAGGTAAGCAGCTGCCTCCAACTCCCCCCACCCAGCTATCTCCCCCCATCTCTGCCCTTTTGGCTGCCCTGCACCCTGTCTTGTGGGGCGGCAAGCAGCCCCAGAACACATGGCTCAGGGGTTTCTTGGTCCTCCTCCCCCCTTCACTTGCTTGCACACACCACAACCTCCTTCACTTGCTCGCATGCATTGCGCCTTCGCTCACACACACCAGAGCCCTCCTTCGCTCACTTGTAAGTGCAAACTGGTTGCCAAGCGCCCAGATCGTGATCACGTGACCACAGGGGCACTGCAGTGGCCTAGGGGACCAGGCATAAGTGCATTTTTTCAGCACCATCATAACTTTGAACGGTCGCTAAATGAATGGTTGTAACTCAAGGACTACCTGTATAGTGTAGTGCTAATTGCTTAGTAACATTATACAGATAAAGGATAAATGGTTAAAGACTAAAGACACAGCAAGAACTGCTTGATGAAGGTAGGAATTTACTATGGTTGATGTAATTACAAATTGCTGGAAGAATAAAAAGTGATCTCAAGAAAGGAGGGATCTTGAGAATGATGACAGAATTTGAAACACTTATACAAAACCAAGATCATCTATTAGTATATATAAATTGATTGAAGTATAATATGGAGAGGGAATAAATTAAAAATTGCATGAGAAAGTGGATAGAAAACTTCAAAGGAGTAATCATAGTAGAACAGTAGGAGAGCTATGAAAAACAAGTTTACTCCAAGCTATAATTTGAGGGAAAGTTGATACAAAATGTTTTATAGATGGTATATGATGTTGTCAGTGATTAGCAAGATAGATAAATATAACAACAAATGTTGGAAACGCTACAAAAAAAGAAGGAACATTTTGCCAGATGTGTTCATGTGAAAAAATTCAAAAGTATTGGAAGGAAATATATAAAAAGATTCAGAAAAATAAACAAAATTTGAATTGAAACCACAAATATTTTAGTAGGAGTAATTCCATAAGATTTAAATGAAAAGTATCACAATTTACTAAGATAGAACAAATTTTGCACAACATTTGAAAATGAAACTTTCCCGACGATACAAGATTGGGAAACCAAAATTGGAGAATTTGCAATGATGGTGAAACTGCCAGTATATATTCATAATAGAAGACTAAATAAATTCAACCAGGAATGGTTCCCTTATAGTATGTACAACACATTGTGCAGCAAGGCAAATTCAAACATTTGAAACAACAGTTTTTAGGAGAAGAATTAAGAAACCAATCAAAAACAATAGATAAAATAACTTAAAACATGCTAGCAATAACCTCCAACGTTTATTTTGTTTTATTAGCTGTTTATCTTTTACTTTGCTTTTTAAACTTTATTCTTGATGTGATTTCTGTTTAAATAATCTGTCTAAGCTTATGCAATAAAACAGTTTTAAAACATTATGGAAAATTAATCTACAGAGATTGATTTAAATTTATCATTCTTTTGAAGCATAGAAATGTTTGTGGAAATGAATACATTCTGTTACTACCACTGAGACAGCATATGATACTAGACCGTAAGATTGCTTTGGGAAGGCTTTTTTGGCAGTGCATTAATTAAGTAATATTCCTTCTAAAAGGCTTCCTGTTTCTGTAATTTGACATGGCTGTAACTGAGTATTTTCCCAAAAAGCAAATTAAGCCTTCTAAGTGCTTTTCCCCAGGTTTTTAGAGAGATTCTTTATGTTCAAGGCAGCTGTACACAGGTGGTGATGTCTCAGATTATGATGAGACAAGCCACCATGAGTAGTTGGAAAAACCCTTTCAATTCTAGATCACTCCAGCACAAGAGTACATAGCTTCTAAACCATTTCAGCATTCTTGAGGGCCCTTTATGTATTAATTGGTTAAAGTCTACTCAGACATTAATTCAGCCTCTGATTTTAATTGGATGAGATTCTGAAGAAATTAAAAATAACTCTGAGGATGTATAGAAATAACTAATTAACAATATGTGTGGTGGGCATATATTTGAAACAAGAGATCTGTGGCCTAGGAAGACAACATAGAAAAAGTTACTAGTAGCATATGATTTTAGATCTGACTAGGTGTGTTGGCATTTTAGAAGGAAACCAGAATTAGCTTTCTCTTTTACAGATTATAGAAATTAGGACACACTGTTAGAGGTATTGAATTGAGGGATCAAAAATATGGATGGTAGTTTTTCCCCACCTTTTCAAGCTGATATTTTGGGGTAGCCTTATAATATTAGCAGAGGTGTCCTTATATGTCCAGATGTCGTCTTGTAAATATATCATGAATCCTTTGATAACTTTAAATTGCCATGTTTCACTAATTGAAGCATTCCTTGGAACTTTCTGATACTATTTTCAGAAACATGTATTTCCAAAGTGAACTGAACTAAAACATGTATTTTGCCTTTTTCAGCTCTTCTTGATGACTTGGACAAAGAATTGAATAACTATATTATGCGTTGTAGAGAATGGTATGGGTGGCACTTTCCTGAACTGGGCAAAATTATCACAGATAATCTAGCATACTGTAAATGTGTACAGAAAATTGGTAAGTAATGGTTAAGCTCCTGCAAAGAGTGAACTATCTAAACCATTCATTATCTCTGAAATTATTCCAGTTTTCCTATCAGACATGAGGTCCAGGCTACAATAACAGCTATGGAATATAGTTGTGTTGCTAACCTTATCTCCTTATTTACATAAACACAATTCTTATATAAACAATACAAAACTCTTTTCTGTATTCTGTCAGCTTCAGCAATTAAGCAATAAAAATACTAAATATAGAGAGTGTTAACTCTCTTTTCCAATGCAGTTGTACAGTGGGGCAAAAAAGTATTTAGTCAGCCACCAATTGTGAAGTTCTCCCACTTAAAAAGATGAGAGAGGCCTGTAATTTTCATCATAGGTATACCTCAACTATGAGAGACAAAATGGGGGGAAAAATCCAGAAAATCACATT